TTCACCATGTTACGCCCCCCTCCCAAAAAAATAGTGGAAAAAGGGGGGAAAGAAGGAGGTAGTGATGGAGATGGGAAGGAGGAGGTAAAGGAGTGGTTGTCTGTGGTCGTCAAAGCTTAAAAATATAAAATAAGGAGATGGAGTGACCTCTTAACACATCTGGAATTCATTCAATTTATTCAATTTAAGTAGACTCAACATCTAATTTAAATAGATTGTCAGACCATCACCCCCCCCCCAAAAAAAGCTACATGTTATTTCAAACACAGAGTCTAAAAACTCAGAAGTGGAACGATATAAAAACAATATGCCACGAAGACACTAACCCAGAGAGGGCTGGTTCAGTTCTGCCCGCTATCAGAGAAAACAAGTCTGTGAAGTAAAAAGGCAAAAAAGAAAAAAAAAAAAGGCGAAAAGTATTCCCGAAGATAAAGAGGCCAGGCTCACAATGACGAAAAGTCAATTCATCGGGGAGATTGGCTCATCTGAAGCCCGAGCGTATCTGAGACATGCAAAGCGAAAGGGAAAAGCCAAATCAATTATCATAGGTGAAGATTTCCAACACATCTTCAGTAACTGATAGAAAAACTTCCAGACAATAAGTCCGGAAAGATAAAGACTCGAACGACATGATAAACACACTTGACCTCGGTGACACATGTACCGGCGAACTCAACAACAATAGGGATGCTTCCTTTTCAAGTGCGCGGGCAACATCCCACAAAGGAAATTTCAAAGCACATTTCAAAGGACTGAACTCAAAGTCTGTCCTCTGACAAGAAGGAAAATACACTAGAAATCAATAGGAAATACTTTGAAAGCCCCTAAATGCTTGAGAATTTACTTAGTACTTCCAAGTAATCTATATGTTTCAAAATGAGTTAATGAATTAATTTTGTTTAATTAAAAATTGGCAGTGTCACTTGACATTAGAAAAGGATTCTGGGTTGGATGATAAGGAAAAAGTAACATTGGGGGGCTGGGGAGATGGCTCAGGGCTGTACAGTGCCTATGTAAAGTCTGGATAGAGTAGCACCCAGTCTCTGAAGTCAGCCCAGAGGGGTGGAGACAGGTGAGGGGTGGAGACAGGTGGGGGGTGGAGACAGGTGAGGGGTGGAAACAGGTGGGGGGTGGAGACAGGTGGGGGTGGAGACAGCTGGAGCCCAGGGGCTTGTTGACCAATCAGTCTAACCAGTGGATAAACTCCAGGTTCAATGAGAGAATCTGTGTCAAAAAAAAAAAAAAAGCAATAGAAAAAGACATCTAATACCAGCATCTGACCTCTACACATGTGTGTTTGGCAAGTACCAAAAAGAACTCACAAGATAAAACTGATACCCTCAAGCCAGGTGTGGTGGCTAACACCTCGGATCCCACACTTAGAAAGCTGAAGAAGAGAGACTGTCCTATTGGCTGCCAGCACCAGATACATAATGAGCTCCAGACCAGCCGGGGCCACCAAGTGAGCCTATCTCAAAACAAACAAACAAACAAACAAAACAAACAAAAAGCCTATCTCAAAACAAACAAACAAAAAGAACTATGTTCCTAAATACATATGGGGGGGGGGGGGCAGGGAAAAATAACAGAGGAGCAAGGAGCTAGAAAAGAACACCAAATGAAGGCAAAATAAATTGGGTGGAAATAAATAATAAGGCAGAAAAGAAACTAGAACAAACAACATCAAAGGAAAACAATCAACATAGTCAAAATTTCGTTCTTTAAAAACTAATAAAATTTACAAATCCATAGAAATGCCAAGAAAAGAGAAAAAGCAAACTACTAATAAAAAATAATGAAAGGCCTGTCATCCCTGGAAACATAGTGAGCGGCTAATGAGATAACATTATCAACAGCTTTGTGCCAGTAACAAAACGTGCAGCTTAGATGAAATGGGCGTTTCTGATACTATTGTGGTGTGACATGCACAAGTCCCCTGAAGTTCATCTGTTTGAACACTAGTCCCCAAGTGGTGGCCCTGCTTTGGAAGATTGTAAGACTTTTAAGAAATGGAGCCTGGTTGGAAGAAGTGAGTCACTAGGGGCTGGTCTTGAAATGTTTACAGTCCATCCCCACTCTCCATCTGCTCTAGGCCTCCAGCTGACACGATGCGGCCGGGTACCTCATGCATCTGCCTTGCCTTCCCCCACCATGATGCGCTGTCTCCCTTCTTAACCCGTAAGTCAAAATGAACCTGCCTCCTTCCCTCAGGAGCTTCTTGTCAGCCATTTGGTTGCCACGAGGAAAGGAACTCATATGATTGCTCAGGTGGGTTCACTGCCTGGATGATGTTGAGTTGAAGAGGCCATAGAACAGGTAAAAGGCTGCAGGCTGCCCGGGTGGCTAGCAAGAGAAGCAAGGGTGTGCTTCTAAAATGGGATACTATACCATAGTGTAAACACAGAGCTATTGCCAGCATGGTGGCACACTCTTATCATTCTAGCACTCAGGAGGCAGAGGCAGAAGGATTATGTCAAGTTCAAGTCCTACATAGTAAGTTCCAGGCCAGTCAGGACTCTATAAAGCCTGTCTCAAAAAAAAAAAAAAAAAGAAAGAAAGAAAAAAAGAAAAAAAAAAAGAAAGAAAGAAAGAAAGAAAGAAAGAAAGAAAGAAAGAAAGAAAGAAAGAAAGAAAGAAAGAAAGAAAGAAAGAAAGAAAACAAAGAACCATTGTTATAGGGAATGGCATGATGAGTTGCGCAGACACTGAGATGAAATAAAAACAGTCAGATTAAAAAAATGCATACTGTGTGATTCTATTTATACGGCAAAAAACCAATCAGTTGTGATAGGAAACAGATGTTGGTGACTTCGTGGGACAGCAGAGAAGTCTTGGGGTGTGTTTGCTCCTTACCTTGACGTGAGTTTGTTCAGGGTAAAAATGCATCAGGTTGTCCCTTTAAGGTGGTAAATCTTTTTGACTGTATGATAAATTCAGTTTTTAATTTAAAAAGAAGTAAGTCTGTGATGCCAGTTTAGTTTGGGGGAATCTGTCTTTCCCACTCAAGTGGACAGGAGAACAATGTCCATTCTTCCGTATCCCCACAGACAGAACTCCAGGGCACTGGAAGCCCTTCTAACATAAAGATCATGCATTTTGTATTTTTCTCAGTTTTGATAGGAAAACTGATTCTATTTCACCTGGAGACAGATTTCATATTTCATGAGCCTACAGCCTAACAATCATAGAGCAAGCTGATGAAGGACAGGGATGTGTAGCTGTGTAAAATACTCTGCGGGGAAGTTCTTCTAATCTCTCTCTCTCTCTCTCTCTCTCTCTCTCTCTCTCTCTCTCTCCTTCACACTAGGGTTTGAATCCAAGGCTTCATGTATACCATACAAGTGTATCACTGGAATACATCCACAGCCCTGGTTTAACTTCTCAGTTTGAAGTAGGGTCTCCCTGAATTGTTCAGGTTGACCTTGAACCTGCTCTGTAGTCCAGGCAGGCCTTCCACTTGTTATCCTCCGGCCTCAGCCTTCTGAATAACTAAGACTACAGGACTGTACCACTAGGCCCAGCCGACTGTTGGGCTTCCTAAAATGGGTGTGTCCTGTAGAACTCACCCAATTCAGTGCTCTCTTCCCTCCTGAGGACCTGGGTGACTACGAGGCACCTTTTATGCGTGAGTGGCCACTTTCACAAAGTCTTAGGATTGGGGCCCTTCTCAGCAAACTAGTCGTACACCCAAATAGTGACTTCTGGAGAGGAAGCAAATCTGACTGGAAATAAATAAATTTAATTTAAAAAAACAAAAAAAAGGTAAAGCTGTTTTTACCATGGTAACGAAGGTTTGCCCAGACTTGGATTTCCTTCGTTGACTGGAGTGGTTTTGTGGGTGTAAGTGATTTTTGAAGAGCAAATTAAAAAGACTTCTTATATGTCCCAATAGGCAACAACATAGTACCGGCTAATGGCACTTCCCATCTCTAAAATAATTACTTTTGTAATAATCTGTTTATTAATGAAGTGAGCCACAAAATAGATAATGATTTCTTAAGATTTCAAGCACACGGATTCTTCCCCCTTCAGCTTCATTTCACGTTCTTTGCCCCCAAAAGCACACCATGAAGGAACTACTCAAAAAATACTGGCAGATTTTCCTAGGTGCGACACTCTCAGTAATGTGTGTTCAAGTAGGCCCAGTGAACCCACACTCACAGTATCGCGCCCTTCAATTATTCTCTCTGATAATTGAAGTGTTCTGAGGCTGGATGTGGGAACAGCTGCACCTTTCTATCCATTTACTAAAATTCATTTCATATCATACTTAAAATGGATGGATTTTATGGTATATAAATTGTAACTTAATAAAGTATTTTGTTAAGAAAAATCAATCGAATGTTTTTAGTAGTTCTTTCACATTCCTCCATCTTATCAAAGATATGCTGACTGTTGGGACCGGATCCTTCCAAGAAATGAAGTTCACTTGGTTAAGACCCACATACAGGAAGATTAAAGAGTCCTGGAGGAGAGAACACATTACTACTACTATTTTGCTAAATAGACATAGTATCAAACTGCCTTCTAAATGCCTACCCTTAGACCCATAGTGTAGCTGTAGTTATCTTATTCCTGCCTGGCTCCCATGGTCCTCAGACCCAAGCAAACACACAGAGACTTACATTATTTACAAACTGTATGGCCTAATGGCTCAGACGTCTTGCTAGCTGTTCTTATACCTTAAATTAACCCATTTCTATTCATCTATAAGTTGCCACATGGTTCGTGGCTTACCGGTATCTTAGCATGTTGCTTTCTCATCACGGTGACTGGCAGCGTCTCCCTGCCTCAGCCTTCCACTCCCCAGCATTCTCCTCTCTCTTTGTCCCACCTACCCTATACTTCCTGCCTGGCTACTGGCCAATCAGCGTTTTATTTATCAGCCAATCAGAGCAACACATTCACAGCATAGAGAACATCCCACAGCACCATAGAGTAGCGTTCACTCTCACCCCCTCCTAGGAGAAGCTTCTTACAGGAGACGGTTAGCACAGAAACTCACAACTGGCCGTAGCACAAGAGAACAAATGGCTGTGGGGTATTCAGCCCTAAGTGGGCTATATCACACTCTGTCCTTGCGCACGGCTCAGGGAACATTGCAGAAGAAAGAACGTAACTATTTTAAGAGCCAGAGATCCAACGGTACCAGGCCTAACACTGTCTACCAGACACGACAGGACAGTTACATTCATAACCCCACAGTAGCTGTGGTCGCCAGCATGAGCCTACACAAGATTAAGCCAGCCAGCATTCCAGTATTGGGGGGGGCAGGGCTCGCTAGCCTTGGAAAATGAGAGTCAATATTTTTTTTGAGGGTTAGGTCCACGGTAGGTTGTCCATGCTCCAGTAACTGGCCCTGTACCTAGGCACATATGGCGGGCACTAATTGGACTCAGTAGGGTTCAGAAAGAGAGGGGGCAGAGAGGAGGGGAAGGGAGGAAGAAAGAAAGGGTAGAGGGGTAGTCTAGGAAGGAGTTAGAGGAGTTAAATGAGGGATGGCTATGACCTAAATACGTTTTATACATGTGTGTGTTGGGAGGGAAAAGTCCAACTGGCTATAAAGCCATCAGTGAACACAGCAGGAGGGTGTGGACTTTAAGAAATGGAGTCCCCTGGGCAGACGAGTCCTAAAAGTGGCACCTCTTGGGTCAGGGTGTCACTCGGCGGCAGAACGTTTGCCTAGCATGGGTGAGGCCCTGGGTTCAAGCTGCAGTAGTAGTTGTGTGGCAGCAAGCTCTGTGTGCGTGCGTGCGTGCGTGCGTGCGTGCGTGCGTGCGCTCCTGTCGTAGCCTTAATACCCCAGCGCTGCCATAAAAACAGAGGCTCGGTGCTTCCGCCCAGCTCTTCCTCCTCATTTGTCCCTTGTTACTCTTACTACTTTCTTTATCTTCACTGAAAATCCCCGGTCCGGGTCCTACATTGTCCGGGGTTGTAATCTTTGGCTTGTGACTTTCGATCAATCTGAGGGGGCTGTGCTGCATTCTTCTTTGCGTCCAGAGTCAGTGTGTTTCACAAAACAGATACCCAGGAAGGGCAATTGCGGCCCTTCCAGCCCAGTATCTGGCATTAGTTTTTTTTTTTTAAGTTTTTTTTTTTTTTTTTTTTTTAATGTTACTTTCCTTCCTTCCTAGACCCTCAGGTCCTGCATCAATGGCGGCGCCTATGGTGTGGACTTGACAAACTCTCTGTGACACTGCTGTGTGAAGAATCCTCTAGAAACCACTGGCTCAGGCGGTCAGGTAGTGCCCATAGTTGAACAAGAGGCGAGCCCCCGGTGGGTGGGAAGCCTGTCGACCACCTCTTCCCTACCACAATCTGGATACAGCTCCTGACTCCAGGCCGCCCATCCCTTCCTGAGCCCTGTGAACTCTTCCAGTCATTTGCCTGATGCTGGCGGAATCTTCCTGACATCCTGCCCACCCACCCACCCCCCACCCCGTGTATGTGCCCAAGGCCTCTCTCCATCCAGCTGGGTGCAGTACACATGCCATTCTGCTTTGTTCCGGGGCCCAGGATAGCACAATGCAGGCAGATCTGGGCTGTGGGTAGCTGATGAAGGCCCTGGCGGTCAAAGAGGAACATGCTAGAAAGAAGGCCTGAGAAAAGATACGACACACTCTCTGTCCCAGGGACAGACTAGAACCCAGGTGCCTAAACTTACCTCCCTCTCTACCCTGAGTTGGTTAATGCAAACAAGTCAGTGCTTGAGCCTCAGGGTTTCATCTGTAGAATGGGGGCCCTCCCTTGCTTTATCTCTGCTTGCCTGGCATGGGGGTAAACCAGGCCACTGATGTTCAGATGTGGGAATAAATGTCCCAGTGCAGGGGGCCTGAGCAGGACACTTGTTCATTGCCCACTCTGTAGGGCCTGTGAGGGAAAAGCAGTAGCTCCACCACCACCCCCCACCCCTGCCCCCCTCAATGCTGTGCTTGTACATCTCCCACCCCAGCATGTGGTGCCAACATTGCTACTGCCGGCTGCCCTGAGGAACCGCAAGGCTTTTAACCAGCGTTTCTGGAAAGCCTTGTATGGGTTCAAAACAAATGTTTGCAGCTGTGTAACCTTTAGTCTGCAAAGATTGTCAGATCCTAACTCAGAAAATAACACTGTTCCAAACTCCTGTGTCTGAGAAGGCCCGGGGTGACAGAATCCAGGAAAGGAAGAAGCTGCTAGATGAAGATGCTAAGGCGCTAGCAAGAGGAGAAACCGGTTAAATTTAATATTAGCCAGACGTGCCTGACTTCACGGTACAGTTTAGAAAAAAAATAGACCACAATAACGTCATGAGTAAATTAACACGATGAAAGAAAAGCGATTGTGAGGGCTTGAAATTTCTGGCTGAGCCCAGGATAACCCACCCAGTGGTACAACTCACGGTGGTTCAGGACTGGCACTGGGCTAGAGTCAGGTTCAGATCCCAGCCACATCTGAGCATGGCACTGCCGTGGGTCTATTTACCTTCCCTGAGCTGTTTCTCTCTGTTTGAGTGGAAACGATACCCAACTCTCAAGAGCAATGAGACCATAAGTTAAATGAGTCAATATACAAAAGGGCTGGGGGTAGACAGAATAACGGCTCTCTAAATTATGCTGTTAATTCCTAATTCCCCCAAAGCTGGGATCATCTTACTTTACATGAAAAAGGAACTGCACAGATATGGTTTCAATACCTTGAAATTTAATGATAAATTATGACTATCCAGATGGATCTATATAGTACCAAGAGCCCCCTCTGAGCGAAGGCTGGAAGGTCAGAATCAGACAAGGCAAAAATCATGATTTTGTGTTGCTGTGAGCCTTGAAGGCAGAGAAAGGACCAGGAGCCACAGGATGTAGGGAGACCCTTGAAGCTTGAGAAGCAAGAGAAAGGGTTCTCCCCTGGAGTATGCTGAAGGGCCTGTGCTAAAGACGCTTTAAGTTTAGAGTTCCCATGTAAGATAATACATGTGCCATGTTTCAAGCCAATGGTACCATGCTAATTTGCTACACCACCCAAGAAAACCAGGCAGAGCATTTGAACCTGCTTCGGCTAATGCCAGGTACACTTTAAGTTCTTAGAAATAGTGGCCAATAATAGCAGCTACTGATATCTGGAAGGATGCCAATCAGTCTTCTCTTCTAAGTCATCATAAAGGGGTCGACTGCTCTCCACTCTTTCTCTATAGACAGCCCATCCCTTGTGGGCAGCTGATAGATGGTTAGAGAGCTCATTCTCAAAGGCACCACAATTGCCCACCAGGCCATTTCCCTAAGCCTTGTTGCTTCTGACACCCCTTCAGATAAGTATGTACAGGTCTCAGATGACCCCAGAGGCTTCACTTAACCTCTGCACTTCCTGGACATTGGACCCATTTTCCTCAGTTCTTCAGATACTTTTCAAATAAGAAAGTTCTGATACCCACCAACACATCTCTACCAGGTGAAACTCTGGTAGGTATCCTCTGGATCTCTTAGGCATCTTACAGAAAGGAAATCATAACTAAATTCCACAAAGGGCATGACTCCCAGTGAACCTAGACTGCTCCTCCATCAGGCGTCCCTCAATCAAACCATCAAGGGCTTTATGACTGGAGCAGGTAAACAACATGGCCAACGGACGCCATGACATCATGTGCTATAATCTCTTGTATTGTAGCTGATGTCCTCTCTTGTATTGTAGCTGATGGCTCTCACCCTGACCTCACAGGGGACTCTTTAAGGCTTAGATGTCTAATGCTACAATTTCTTTCTTGCATTTCATACCATTAGATTTAGTTTAGTGCTCTAGTCTATTCTTTGGGCCTTATTATGACAATAAAAGTATTTTCTGCATTTTATCTAAAAATCTGTTAAGTATGAAAGAAGTCATTGATATCTATAATTCTAGTAAGGATACCAAATGTTTTTTTTGTTTTTTTGTTTTTTTGTTTTTTTTTTTTACAGTGGCATTAGTCAGCATATTTGAGTATGGCCATAAAGAAACTCTAAATCTTCCTACTGGGTATTCCGGTATGCAGTTAAAACTACAGCTGTTGTTTGCTGCTGTCCTGGGACATATTCTAGGACCTTTGCAAAGTCAAAACCCAAAGATGCTCAAATCCCTTATGTAAAGTGGCATCACCGCATACCACCTATGAATGTGCCCCTATGCGTGGTGTATCATCTCTAGATCACTTATAATACCTAATGCAAAGTAAATGAATAGTCACTGTGTGGTAGTGCTTAGGGAATAATGATCAAAAATATTAATCCTTTCATGGCCAACATAGACACGGTTTCCCCCAATAGCTATGATCCTTGGTTTGTCCTACTCACAAGTGTGGAAGGCCCACTGTACCTCATCTTGTGCACAAATTCATCATGAGATACCCAAATAAGTATCCAGCCTTGGTATGCTTTGTGTCTGCCTAGCCTAAACAGCTCCCTGACATAATACTCTAACAAGCTGCCTTTGTTTGCTTTCTAATGATGTGATAAAACACCATGACCTGCTTTTGGGGGAGGAAAGGGTTCCCAATCACAGTCCATCACGGAGGGAAGCCAAGGCAAGAACTCAAGCAGGACAGGATCCGGGAAAGAGGAAGTGAAGGAGGAGAAGTGCTTTCTGGTTTGCTCCCCATGGTTTACTCAGCCTGATTCTCTTAATACAACCTAGGACTACTTGCCCAGGGGTGTCACTGCCTACAGTGTTCTGGAACCTCCCACATCAACCATTAATCAAGACTTGTCCACGGTGAGGCATTTTCTCAGTTGAGGTCCCCTCTTCCCAGATGATGGTAGCTTGTGTCATCGAACAAAAAGACTAATCAGTCCATGAGCCTACCACAAAACTGGGAACACATCTACTTTTTTGGAGTTTTGCTTTTGGATTCTAGAGAGTTCTGCTCTGGTTGGTTGGTTGGTTGGTTGGTTGGTTGGTTGGTTGTTGTTTTCATATGCTCATGAATCGTCCTCAATACTCTGATCAGGGAATTTAATGAGGAGGAATAGGAGAAACTTGCTTCTGGAGCTGCCAGCTCTTTCCCATCTTTGAAAGGCAGAGCTGTTTTGCCATCGCTAGCATTCCAGTTTCTTTCAGTCTCTACATTCCTTAAACCTCGCCAGTGGAAGGAAGATCTATACTACATCTTCAGTAGTGAGCTCTCTCTACTCCCTGGAGTACCATTTGTCCTGCCCAAGAGGCTTGAGCTCAATTACAGCAGCTTGGTGCCGTTAGAATATCTTTACTCATCTCAAACTTCAATTTTCCCTTACCAAAGTTCTCTCTTCCTTTTCAGTCAGATTGTTCTCTTTGGCAGAGATAAGGAGGCAAAGTTCTTCTTCTCTCTCCTCCCCATCCTACAAGGCCAATAGCATTGTGTTCATGGGTCTTCTGTAAGTCTGCAAGGGCGTGGGTATCCTTTGCCCTCCAGCACTGATTCTCGAACTCAACTGAGGAACTTGCCAATATATATATTTCTCCAACTCTCTTCCCAGAGGCCGAGTCAATTGCTGTGCTCAGGGAAGAGCAGGTGTTAAAACTCATCCCGATGTGCATGGTGGTAGCTCAGGAACAGAATTTATTTTTCATTCTCATCAAGTACCCAAATGAATGTCCTAGATCAGTGGGCAGCCATCTCCAAGGGTTTCTTCAAGTTTGATGATCTGTCAGTCTTCAACACTGAACTTCCAAGGTACCTGTGTTTGTCTACAACAACAGAGAAAAGAGGAAAGGAGGAATGGAGAAGGTGAAGGTCAAATTTAAACAGGTCAGATCAGGAGATGGCACAGGTTTCTTCTACTGACATGCCATTGGCTAGACCTCAGTCACATGAGTACACCTAACTGTAAAGGAGGCTATAGGAAATAGCATAACATAGCTGCAGAGGATGATGGGAAATGTAGTCTAACTGCAAGGGAGGCTGGGGAGTGTAGTGTAGTACAGGAAGAGACTTATGGTGAAGAATAAGGCCAAAGTGGATGAGGGGGTTAGACTTCGGAATCTGTGTTTTCAGGATTCCCACTTGATTCTTATGTGGGTCATTCTGTGCACAGTTCTACTCTGCCCATTCTGAACTCTGTTCAGGTTCCCAGGGCTCTTTGCAAAGTGGCCTCCCTGATCCTCTCAAATACCGTGACTGGCTTGCTGTGATCATACAAAGCACCAGCAGGGTCCCCTGCTCACGGGTTCTGCTCCACCTGAATGTTGGGTGGCTCTTGTTTTCTCTGCCTTCCCCTCCTTCTGTCTGCTCGGCAAATTCCTGCTCTCCCAGATCCTTGGGCAAAGTCGGTCTTCCAGGACTCACCTGCCCCTAGGGGGCACTAATAAAGCCTTCCTTCTCCCTGGTCTACCTGGACTGCCTCTCATTATGGTATTGATCATGCTGAGTGGCATTCATTTAGGTTTGCTATCCCATTAGACAGGGAGATCCTCAAGGGCAGTGTCCTTTTCTTAATTATCTCTGTATCCCCGGCACCTGGCACCTTGCCTGGTACATGGTAGCACTCAGGAAGAGTTTGGTCTGCAGAAATCCTTACCATCAGACAACTTTCTGCAATCACTTATCTGTTCCGTTTTTTTTTTTTTTTTAATTTTCTGCTCATGCCAAATAAGAAAAGCTTTTCATTGTACTTACAGTTTTGCTGCCTTGATTAACCTAATTAGCAAAGGTCTATGCAACTCTGTTTATGTCCATCTTCCCCCACTTTCCACTCTACCCAAAGGTGACCTTCCCCACGAGCCATTCGGATTGTAGCTACAGGCGTTCCAACTCTGGTAATTAGATATTAAGGATTCTACTAAGACAACCCCTGCCTTCTTGAGCCGTCCGTCCTCATTGTCAAGTTTAACATTCCCCAATTTTCTCAAGATACTCAAAATCCCGAATTCCTGAGCTCCAGAAAATACATCTTCCCTTGCTCATCCTTCAGCTTAATGGACCCAATGGAATCTAAGATAACTGTGGAAATGGCCAGCTTCCAAAATGCTCTCTCTGAACTCTGACTCTCTCTCTCTCTCTCTCTCTCTCTCTCTCTCTCTCTCTCTCTCTCTCTCTCACACACACACACACACACACACACACACACACACAAAATGCCACACCCTGAAGTAGCCATGTAATGACATACTTATCAACAAGGACCGAAGG